ATTCCTGGTTTTCTCCCTATGTCACTGGCAAGCTCTCAGTTTCCTTTGCCAGCTCCTCCTTCCTTGCTTGACTCTAAATGGTGAAGTGTCTCGGGGGATTCACCTTTCAACCTCTTCTTTTATTTTTTTGCCCATGCTCAGCTTAGATAATCTCACCTAGACGATGGCTTTAAACACTATCAATATGCCGACGACCGTGAATTTACGTCTCTAGCCCTGCCTGTACCCTGAGCTCCAGATGCAGGCATACGGTCACCTAGTGGGCATTTTCGACGGGATGTCCAGTTTGCATCTCAGGCCAAACGTATCCAAAACTAAACTCCCGATTTCCCCCCATGAATAAGCGCCTCCTCTCGTCTTCAGACATCGAGCACCCCTTCCCCACTGCTCAGGCACCATCTGCGATTTCTGTCTCTGGCACATCACACGTCCTATCCATCAGCGATGCCTGTGGGCTCTACTCTCACAGTAGCACCCGCTCGGACCACTTTTCATTGCCTCGGTCACCACCATCCAGGTCTCAGCCTGGATTACTCGACGAGCTGCTCACCGGTCCCCCTACGCCCGCTCCCGCCCTTCAGTCTGTCTTTACACAGCAGCTCTGTTGGCGTCTTTAAAACAGAGATCACGTCGTACCACACCCTCCAACGGTCTCCCTCCATCTCTGGCTCTCACACTTGTCGCGAGCCAGGCCCTGCTGACCTCTCCAAAGTCACCCCCGTCACTCTCCCCTCCCCTGCTTCCAGCCACACGGGCCTTCCTGCCGTCCTCAACACACCCAGGCTGGCACCTGCCCCAGCACCTTGAGACCAGCTCTCCTCTGCCCGAGCGCTCCCTCCCTCAGCTTCATGGCTCATCCCCTCACTTCTCGGAGGTCTCAGCTCCAACGACACCTCTTTGGAGATGCCTTTTCTGACCACGCTGTCTGTAACGCCTCCCCTGCCCCTGCCGGTCCGCACCCTTCCATCTCTCTCGCCTACTTTATTTTTTCTCTGCAGCACTTGTCAGTAACTGAAAGCTCACTGTTTATTGTTCATTAACTGTCACCTCCACTAGGATAACAGACCTCAGGAGGGCAGGCGCTTTGCATCCGGAGAGCGCAGATGCACGTGTGGCTCAGAGGTGCCCACTACACTTTTGATGATCTACTGACCAACCGACCGAGTAGCCTTAATACGTGAATGGCGACACTTCTCTAAGCCAAAAGGAACCAGCTGGCAAGGAAGCCTTTCTCCTTCACGGGTCTTCTTTCCGAAGTTTATCTGTACTGGGTGTGAACTTGCTGTCCTTTGGCTGGTTTTATTTCTCTACCGCTTTTTCACATTTTCTTGGATTGTGAGACGAATCTGTCCAGCCAGGACCTATCGCCACTGATACTAGACGCCACTCTGATATCAAGGTGGTCCCTTAGCTGGAGCCAAAGACACACAGTGGGAACCTGAGTGTGTGAAGCTCTCAGCTGGGACAGAGGTGATCTGACACTGTCCCATCACCGCTGGCCTAGCCTGGGGACCGCTGAGGACACTGGTAGGGGGTGTCAGGAGGATGGCAGCAGGGAACAGAGAAACCGCGGCAACCCAAGGGAAATCAAGGAAAATCATATTCGTAGCAGGGTCCCTGACCTAAGTTTATAGGTTTTATCATCGTAAAATAACTTATTATCTCATTCAGTACGTATGATCCAACAGAACTAGAAAAACTGGCAGAAACATTTAAAATGGTCACGTAAAAGTAATCATGTGCAAACACATTATGCAACACGTATGTCAATGAGCTTACCATGAAGAAAATTAATACAATTTCAGTCCTACCTGTTATACATCAGGCGTTTGAAATCTTGAAATAAAGTGTCTTTGTTTTTGTCGATAAAACCAATGACAGAATAGCTAGTTGAGGGGGAAAAAAACACAAGAGAAAACACATTATTCACCAAGGAAGAGCCACTTCTAAGCTTTTCTGGAAGTCTACAAGCCCTTCTACTGCAAAAACTTATGCACCAGTCATCTCTAAAGCTGATGCTGCCCACCTAGTTCTGGGTTAAAGAACATCAAACCTGCCTGCCACCCAGAGGGGGTGCTCGCTGCCTCTCCTTCTCCGGAGGAGCACGAACCCCAACATCCTCATTACGATTAAGATCACCATTTTCGCCTGGCTTGTTGCTTACCTCAGGAAGATGCCTTTTTAAAAGACAGCTGAGTTTATCATCTGGCATTCCTAAGATAAAAGCAAAACAGGAATGTACAGGAACTAACCGTCTCAGCGGTAGGGAGGTCAAAGGGCTCGCCTAAGGTTGGCTCACTGTACAAGGTGGGAGAAAAGAGTCCTGAAGAATTGGAAAGGACAGTGAGAGCTGGATATGCAGAGGAGAGGGAGGCAGGCAGGTCACACGGGAAACAGGTGTAGTGAAGAGGCGGGAGCAGGCACACGCATGGAGGTCTTGAGAGGAAATGAGGAGGTCAGGACTCATGGTTCGGAGGCAGGGACGTGAGTAAGGTCTTGGAGGTCCAGCTAAAACTGCAGCTGGTGACAAAGGTAGGAATGGGCGCTGCTCTGCGGCAGTGCTGGGCATGGACTCAAGGGGGAGTGAACTGCGGGGGTGTGTGTGTGTGCGCGCATAACAGTAACCTAGGATTCCCCACGACTGAGGCTAAGAGGAGGCTGGGGACACAGTAACTCTAGACGCAGCTGCTCCTTGCAGCTCTCCGGTCTTGCCTGTCTGTGCTTCCTTCCTTGACGATCCCGCCAGTGTAGACCATTCTCATCTCTCCAGCCCTGACCCCTCAACCAAAGTTTCAGCCTTACACATTTAATTCTGCAAAAAAGTTCCTTCGGGCTGCGCTGCCCATGGGCACTTCAAGGCCACCGGGTCCAAAATGATTTCCCTGCCCCCTTCCTACCTAGGTCTTCTTCCTGATACCTTCATGTCACTTTTAACTGAATCCTTGAAGTTGCCTGACTCTTAATCTACGGTCAGACCCATACAATTCAGACTTCAGAGGCCTTGTTCGGGCCTTTAGGGCTCATTGCGATTTGGTCTCAATCTGCTCTTCTAGGCATTTCTACTTCTCTTCTGCCACCAAAAGGACATGTTCCAGTCAAAGGGGCCCAGTTGCTATTTCCTGAAATATTTTTTTTATTTTCAGCACCCTTCCCACTTTTTCCTATAAAAATAATTCCTAGCACCCAAGGACCAGCATCTGCCTTCCTGGGTTTATTACACACACAGTTAGAAGCATTATATCATTTGCTTATTCTGAATTCTTACAACACATGTTATTAATCATATTGCAATTATTTTCAACCATCTTTTGTTGCATCAATGTATATAAATGTATGTGTGTGTATATATATATATATATATGTTAATAAATATACATACAATCACATATGTATGAATGCATCTTAATGGAAAAGCTCTTTGTAGGCAGGGACCATAGTTTATAAAGTATTGTGCAGATAGAAGATATCTAGCAAAAGTCTAGAAAAGGGTTGAAGGGCTTAAGGAGAGAAGGGGAAATCTGAGGCATCGAATATTTCTCCAAGGGTCTGGAAACCTAATTATTATCTCAACTAGTCCATAAACTTGCTGTGTGACCTTGGGTAAGAATTTTACACACTCTGCGTAAGTTCTTTTATCCATAAAACAAAGGGCCGGCCCTACATGGTCTCCAAGGCCAATGTCCAGTGCTGCACTTAGCCAGTCCGAGCTGCACAGAAGTGCCCTGTGAGTGGGGCCTGGATTTCAGTGGCAGGTATCTGTATGGAACTGGGTCTTCCCTCTTCAAAGTGTTCTGGGGCCTGGGAACAGGCCCAGGAAAAGTGGGTAATGGTGCTATTCCAGCCTTAACGGCTAGTTTGACAGATGGGGTGATAATTTGGAGCCATATTATTTTATGATTCTAGAGTTTTAACTTAAATCAGGAATGGCTATTAACATTTCTTCAAATGTCTTTTTGACATTTACAGAGACGATCATTCGCTTTTTTGTTGTTGCAGTTTTCACTCTCTTCCTGTAATGGGTTATGTGAATAGAATTCCTAATGTAATAAATGAGGAGAAAGGAAAAGAGGGGACTTCAAACAAAAGCAAGGTAAGGAGCAGGGTTCGGTGGACAGTCAGAACATCTAAGCACAGCAGAGGGGGAAATGCCTTCCTTGAAAGACAACCACGTCAAATTCCCTGGAACCTGTCAATGTAACCTTACATGGTACAAGATGTGAGTATGTTAAGGATCTTGGGAGGAGAATCTAATTCTGTATTACTCAGGTGGGCCTTAAATGCCATCACAAGTGTAGCTTTATGAGATGCAGAGGAGGATTTAACCCAGACACACTGAAGAGGGGGAGGCAATGTGACCCCGGAGGCAGAGATCAGAGTGATGCAGCCACCAGCCAAGGAAAGCCACTGGGAAAACCAAGGAACATTCCTCCTCTAGAGCCTCCAGAGTGTGCCCTGCTGACACCTTAGATTTCAAACTCCTGGCCTCCAGAACTGTCAAAGAATCAATTTCTGTTGCTTTAAGCCACCAACACGCAGTAATTTGTTATGTTAGCCCTAGGAAACTAAAATGCTAAGGTAGTTTATATATACATATATGTATATATATGTGTGTATATATATGTATATATAAATATGTATTTTTTTAGTTATTATTTTCCTACGACTTTCTACCTTTATTGCATTGTAACCAGAAAATGTAGCTTATGAGAATTTTACGTTTCCAAATAACATTTGAAAAATACTGCAGTAAAACTGGTTTTTACTCACAGAGTTAGTAGTTTGTCACATACAATGATGACCCTCACCTCGGGGCCCGAATACCTGCTGTCTCTTCTGCTTGGAATGCCCTGTCTTCTCCGTCTCCTCTTCCTGATCCTGTCCCCTGACTAAGCCTCTTTTACGTTCAGGACTCAGCTGGGATACCAGTTCCTCCAGAAAACGGGGCAATACTCCTCACCCTGGGTTAATTATTCCTCCTCAGAGTTCCCACAATGTCTTGTGTGTCTCCAGTATAACCCTCTCCATTCTTCACTATAGCGACTTATCGCGTACCAGCTTGCACCCTCCACTAAACTGTCAGCGTCTTCAGAGTAAGGCCCGTGTCATCCATCTTTCTCAATGTACTCTGAAGGTTTATTTATCCATCAGTTGACTTAGACTGAGGGCCAACTATGCCAGGAACTGTGCACGCCCACGTGGTGCGCGTTTAATAAATGTCTGAAAAGCAAGGGATGAGTGATGCGATGCCAATGTTTGAGTGCAGAAATTAAAATACGTTGGCATGAGAAACGGCTAAAAAATGCAGACGAATAGGAAAACAGTTTATATCTTTCCCGATTATGTTTTCTGAAGTGAGGCTGCACGCAAGTCATCACGCCAGGTTCCAGAGTGAGATACTCACACCACGTCCCCAGCGTAATGTCGGATCCGAAAGTCTCGATCAAACTCCAGGATTTTGTCCGAGGCGCAGAGCTAAGAAAAATCAACAAGGAGATGGTTTTGATAACAGAACATTTTCACTTTCCTCCAACTTAAAAGAAGATGATGAGAATGTCTCAAATCACAATATCATTATGAATGAAACCACAGTGTGCGGGGCCTAATTCGGCAAATGTGGCATAAAGACCGTGAGCATTTC